ACTCTGTAATAATTCTTTAGTATATTACTTGTGTGGTGTAGAAGAGAATTATCTATGTAGAGATACTGCTTGCAAACCAATGATGGTAAGATGATGTCATGGGGTAGAACTGGATAAGTCTGACTTCTTCCTACTCCATTCAACCATGTACTAGGTATAAGCAAATTGATATTGGATTAGCATTTGTTGGATATGTGTAAAATTATGTGTGTTGACATATCAACTGTCTTTACATGCTTGAAAGAATAAATACATCAAATCAAATCAAATCAAATGACCAAACTAAATGAACATCCCAGGACTCTGGCTGACTGGACACATCTGTACATCACCATGCAGTCTGAGTTCGACAACAAAGGTGTGTTTCCACCGGAAGGTTATGGTACTTTTCATTCCCAGAAACTAAAGTCCAAGAACATTCCCTAGGGGTAAAGGTCCCTCAAGCGCAGCGTGATTTAGATTTCCACAGCAGGACTGAAGCCCTGGGAAGATTCAACAAATTAACCCGCTGACGTTCAGCACTGCAGGCCTCGCTGTGTGGTTGTTGGGCCATCAAAGCTAAATTTAGTCCATGGTTTCTCCAATGAAAGCGCAGGTAGAAGAACTAAGTTTATAGAAGGTTCCTGTTCCCAGGGCAAGCTCGTTTGGTGGAAACAGGGTTTAACACACAAACAGCAGCTTTCAGTTTGGGTCTAGAAAACACAAAGGCAGACTTCTGTCATCATCCTCACCATCTTCATCATGTGACCCATAGGGCTGAGCAGAAACAGAAGCCATTGTGTTGTCAGCTAATCAAATTACAAGGGACTGACAGAGATTCAGTTTCAGTCTCCTAAAGAACCATGTGACACGTTCTCTGTAAAACCTGGGTGTCATACACTTTGCAATGTTTTAAATCAATGAGCAGGATTTACAGAACTTTTCCCACTCACATCAATCACATCAAAACCTGTTTGTGTGTTCTGTTGCCAACAAAACATCATGCAGCTCAAAAAAAGAGCTACGGCAAGCCGATGTCAGAGTCCAACGACTACTTGTGCTACTAACAGTACTGCAATACAGTACTACTGCTCATATCGAAGAACATCCGGAATACGTCTGTACACCTGTGCAATTATAGCCATGATTCACCAGGTAACAGTCACAACATGCATTACAAAATAACGAAAACACACTCACAACCCCGGCAGTGTTGGTGTCTTCATTGTGACACTCAGCTCCGTTAATTTAAGATGTAGTGTAATTACTACAAACCACTATAAAACGTTAACATTTTTAAGGCTTCATAAACCACACTGTCATCAACTTTATAAGAAGGACATAACAGCCACTTTCACAGTCTGCCAAATGTTACTGGTTCCAGTATGTTCTGTAATAACCAAACTGGGTCAATATCCTATTCCTATCAACAGGAGGTTTCCAAAATATGAAAATACAACCTGTACAATGCAAGTGCTAAGATCTGATTCCACGAAATGTGCTACTAGAAGAATCAAACTGAAAACCTTGTAGTGTGGGTGCAAGCATGAAGACTTCATCACTGAAAACCACAAGAAAAGGAAAGCAACCTGACATACACCACAGAAGCCACAAAGCCTGCAAAGGAATTTACCACATTTAAAAGGCCATTAAAAGTCTTGAGAGTGGGTGGATTTCAGGTATTTCAAGATAAACAGACATTCTGCAGGATGACCCAGAGTTATCAGCCTGTCTTCACACATCAGCATCCTCCCCCAGGTCTGTCATGTCCTACCTTCAATTGCAATGACATGCTCCCGGATCTGGTTCTGCAGCAGCGGCTCCTCCACCCGCTCCAGCAGCTCGTAGATGGAGTAGATGTTGGGGTGGACGGACTCGAACCTCTGGATCTCGCCTCGGATGGCGGCCGAGTTGGCGATGTGCTGCTGGTAGTTCATCACTGCAGCTGCTACCTGGACTCCAACACAGCAGGGGTGTCCGTAGTGAAGCAGAGGAACGCAAGGTGAAAGATGTGACCTCCAGAGAGGGAAAGTGCCTCAGAGAAACCTTAATGCATGCTTTTTTCCTCGGAATCCTGGTCAACTTGACTATTTAATGCTATTAAATAACACCCGGTGGTTAGTCTTTAATGGCGAAAACGACAGTTTTCCTGCCTCACAATCCTGGGAATTGTTCCCTAAGTATATCTCCAGGGCTAGACTGAAAGAAGGCGGTCTGACTTACGCTACTGCCCGGAGAAAGCAGCTGTTCCCCGGTGTGTCCCGGTTCCTAATCCCGGTGTGCTGACAAATGTGCGGCAGTGTGAGAACTGCTTCCCCATATCCTTGCAGTCCGTGTAAGATTAAGAAGACACTTGCTCGGGTTTAGCTGGCTTTAGAAGACAGAGCTTTTAGAGTCAGCAACAGTCATAACTGACCAGACGAGAGGGATAAAAACGGCCTTGTTGCGTGGCTAGGCTAGCCGCCTAAAGCTAATTAGCTGTAGCTTCCAAGCCGGGGGAAGGACGAAAACTCGCCGCTTTTCAGCCATTAAAGTCCGCTTTACATAACGACTGAGTGGGAAGTTAAGGCTCCGATGAGCACAATAAAGCAGCCGTGAAAATATAAAGCAAAATTGCAGCTGGCAACAGTGTGGTAGCTTGACAAACACTTAGAGGACCGCGGTGGGGTAGTTGGGACGCCTGTTCCCGTTCTCACGTCCGTTGTTTTGTCTCCGCTCCGGGACCAGCTGGCCTAAAAAAACCTCCTCAGTCCAGACTCAGGCAACTGGAGCTAGAACTCAGTGAAGATCGTGAGCCTCCGAAAATAATCCAGATGTTGTAAAAGACGCGTATGTCACAGGTAAGTCCCAAACACTGAGCCGTTACCCTTTCCCGTGCAGTGAGGTCCATCCCGTACAGACCGGAGCTCGGTATCCAGCCTGGAGAGTCGCTCCGGTGTCACACGCACTCGAAGAGACGCGTTCCGGTGATGTTTTCAAAATAAAACCAGCATGTAGCAACTATCCTCCCCCTTACACATCGAGAAGCAGAATTTTTAATATTTCTCATTATTTACATGAGTACATACCATAGAAAGTGCACTGAATGGGACTAGATGGACACAGGTTTAGGGGTCCGAGGGACCTGGGGGGCCCTGGCCAGTGCCTGTCAGTTTCTCTGCAAGTTGACAACTTCACTAATTGTTTTGTCAGAAAACAGTCCAAAACCCCAAGATAGGACAAAGAAAAGCAGCACATTCTCACCCTGAAACAAGAATTTCCCCACATATTGTTATAAAAAAGACAACTAGCCTTTGATCAAAGTAACTATAAATTAATTTTCTGTTGGTCGATTAATTGGCTTGCGACCACTTGTTGCAGTAAGTTTTTAATGACTCCACCAAATTAACATAACTGTTCAGTTTCCAGTGATTCTAATTAAAGCCACTGTGGTTTTCACTTCATACTGATGCAGTGATTTTGACACTGTAAATATTGCTGTTTAAAACACATACCGTATTTGGCTGTTAGTGCTTTTATTTTGAACATCATACCTTATTTCCGGTCTTCCTCCAGACAGATCTCGTAATTTGACACTGTGGCATTCAAGAAGATAATTATTGCGTGAAGGCAGTGCAAAAATTATAAATTCCTCCTACATTAGAAAAGAGGCCAAACATATCAGATGTCAGTCCTTTATTCCCAAACACAGTGTAATATTGATCTGAATTTACTAAACGCAAAGCCTTTTCAAAATAAAGATGCAACAAACAACAGTGTGTAAGTATTTATTTACCATATGTCTTTGTATTTTCTAGATTAATAATCCAGCTAAATGATAAAAAACAAAAAGCCAGTGATACTGTGTGCTGTTTGTTTGTTGTATGAGAACCCCTCCTTCATCTAGTCTCTGTTAAAGTTCAGCAGTGTCCCAGCAATCTCGTGCAGCACTATTGTGTAGAAGCTGGTATTTTCTCTCCATCCAGCAGTAAATAGTGCACAATGCCACTCTTTTTCGTCCCACTGCTCGCAGCCTTGATGCAGCACTCGTGCTCCCCCATCATGAAGCGTGTCTCTGTGCCATCATCTACAAACTCTCCCTGTGGATAATCGACAGACCCCTGAAAGTTTTCACACAGTACCAGCCTTTTCTATCCACTTGGGTACTTTACACAAGCCTTTGCCATCTCTATTCTGCTTAATCCAGTGAAATTGCTTCCATAATTCCTCTATTCTCAACAAAACGTACAATAGACACACAACAGTCTCAGTGAATTAATGTACCAGTGGTAAAATGTGCAGCTGGCCAATGGATGCATCATTAACCCAAAATTGCAGTCAATAACTTTAAACTTGTCTATCAAATAAAACTGTGTTTTCATTCTCTGACTGAGTTTGTGATCAATTAATGAAATGTTTCTATACGAATAAAGCTAAGTTACATTTAGTCTACTCACTCTTGTGTCCATTTTCTGCCCGTTGCACCAAACCTCCATGGTGTCCTTTTCTGTTGGAAAGAAGAAGAAATTTGTTTATTTTGAATGCAACACTGTATCGTACTGTATATCAGTACTGGCTGAAGTAAACTTGAAAGTATGAAGTGACTGAACCACTTATTAATTGGTTGTTATCTACTGTGTCCTCTTCTTTAACTGCAACCACAAAGATGTCTGTCTCCATCTTTAATTACATAATGAACTGAAATACTCGCAGTGACAAATATATGAACAAGAGGTCAGTCATGTGGCTGCTGCCTGTTTCCTAAAATAACAGCACTGGCCTCCACCTGAACAGATTACACTACAGCGGGTCACATAACCACACCCGGCAGACGAGCACTCACCCAGTACCACCCTGCAGTCCTCCCCCTCCACCTTGAGCAGCCAGGTCCTGGTGGTCTTGGTCCTGTTGTCGATGAACGTCTGCAGACTCTTCCCGTCGATCTCCAGTGTGTATTCATAGGCGAAGCCACTGACGGCCTCAATGTTTATGGTAGCTTTAGTGTTTGCACCTCCAACTGTGAAGGTCTCCTTTCCGACCAGCTTGAACATCCAGTCTTTTCTGATGACTTCCTGTCAGGGAAACATGCTCAGGACATCCACACTTTCAAAACACACCAGGCTGTCTACATGCACCCTGCACAACCTGATGGATTTTATCAGTGTTGGGGGAAGTAATGAGACCTGTTACCAGAGCAGAAGCAACACAGTAAAAACAATACTTAGGTAAAAGTACAGAAGCATCAGCAGCAACAAAAGTGACAGTATTGGAAAGTAACTAGGATCATTTACTTAAATAATATGATAAAGGACAGCTGGGAGTTTTATTTTTATTTTTTACTTAAGTGTTTCCATGTTCTCATATTGTACTTTATAATAAAATAAAATTATATGTATGTAATAATAGTTACTTTCACATTCTAAAATATGACACATTGCTATAACTACTTTTGTAAGGATCATTTCATTTTGTTACCAATACTTTGATACTTTTACTCAAGGAGCTCAAATACAGTTGATATTTTAAAATGCAGTATTGCTACTTTAACTATGCCTTACTATTTTTTAATACTTCTTCTGCCACAAACGCTTTACATTCAGGAAGCTTTAGGTTTAACACTCACATAGTTTGAGCACATACAGCATGTCAGTGGTTTCCAACCTAGGGGGCGAGACCCAGCAAAGGGGTCGCAAAACCCTGAGGCGCCACAGAATCCAGGAACACACACTTCTGTTAATTTCTAATGAAATACTGAATCAGAAAATGTCTATAACACCAGTCTTTGGCTGAAATGTGACAAATTAATAGTGTGGTGTCATAATTGAAACTCAGGTGAAAGAGTCACGAGCCAGAAGAAGCTGGCAACCACTGAGATCAACCTCAAACAGGGTCTCACCCGTCCGTTAACACACACCACACGTTTCCCAGTGGTGGTGCCATGAGCAAACTCAATCGTGTAGACGCCGTCACTCAGTGCCACCTCCCACGCGGCAGCCAGGTCTCCACTCAGCATCTCAGAGACCCCTCAGGATTTTGAGCCAGACTTCTGAAAATCACAGTATTGTGTCTAGGAGCTGAATACGAGGAGCTGCTCGGCTCTGCTCAGCGAGGTGTCGGCTCAGCAGCAGGTGCATTACTGTAAGAGGCTTAGAGATGAGAGCACACGCTGCTGCATCGATGATTAGGGCGGGCTTTGGTTTGCTGGAGACAAACCAGAGTAAAACTCAGCTGGAACAAAATAACAGAGGGAAGTCGCTGTTGTTGAACTGTGTTTCCTGACTGAGCTGAGTTATTTAACATGGTGTATGCTCTACTAAAGTTCATACATCTGCACTTCCAAATCTCAGAGAGCATCTGAACAGAGTGAAGTTCCCAGCACTTGCCGGTTTGTATTTGCATGACAGCCTCCATCAATATGTTTAGTTTAAAACGGATCAGTCGACACATTAATGTATGTTAACTGATTATAAAATAAACATTGAAACAACATGAGGCACCTGATACAGCAATTAAAGGGTACTGTACCAAAAACCTTTGTCAGTTTAATGCTGAAAGTGTGGGATTTTTCTTACCTGGACTCACCTGTCTGCTCTGGTTCAAGTCAGGCCATCCTCTGTCTTGAATATAGATGACTTGAGATTGAATAAGGATAAGGATAATCACCTTTACTGGCCAAGTATGTTACACACAAGGAATTTGTTTCCAGTACAGAACCAAAAATCAAGATCAAGATAATCTAGCAGCAGTTTCCTTGGATGCGAGTGAGGTTCTATGCATCCAGCAGGTATCTCAAACCAAAGAAGCTCAGACAAAGTTGTTTTTCACATCTGATGTCTGAGCTGCTGCCAAATCATGCACGGGGAAGGAAATTCTCAACAACAGCTTCTGTAGTGAATACACAGGAAATCTGCGTCAGTCATAACCATTTCATCCATTGCTCACTTCTTGTAAAGAGGAGGTCAGAGGTCAAATGATCAGGTTTAGAAGAACCAGTTTTGCTCACCAGCTCTTCCTGCTCAGGCTTTAAGGGTTTTTCATTCACTTGATTTTCTTGGTCTCAAAAGAGATGAGAAAATAAGATTGCATAAGAACAAACAAACTTCTCTGCTCACAGAACGAAACAAATCTTAACTTCTCCTCTTAAATTTCCCTTTAAGTGAGTTTAAAAGAAGAAAAATGACTTGTCCTGACTGTTGTATACTGCATTTGCTGAATGAAATATTCAAATCTAAGACAAATATTAAACATATTCTGATTTTCTTGTAAATCATTTAGCATGTATTTTGTAATTTTATGTTAATCTATCTATTACTTTACCTTAAGTTATTTTATTTTAATCAGATCAGAAGTGGACTTTAAACGTCTGTTAAAAAGTGAAGTCAGACTGCCACCTAGTGGCCAACATGAAAACTGGGCTCACATTTTAGCAAGTAAAAGTTTATTTATACTTACCTTAAGTTATTTTATTTTAATCAGATCAGAAGTGGACTTTAAACGTCTGTTAAAAAGTGAAGTCAGACTGCCACCTAGTGGCCAACATGAAAACTGGGCTCACATTTTAGCAAGTAAAAGTTTATTCATACAGCACTTTTCTAAACCAGAGTTACAAAGTGCCTTCACAATAAAAAAAGGAAAATAACAACAAAACAACAACAACAATAATAAATACAATAAAATTCACAATAATTCAAACAACAGATACAAGACTCAATAAAATCAAAGAGATGTCATTCATTTTTAGCACCTTTTGCTCCAGATAGAACATTGAAATTTAAAAAAGAATAAGATATGTGATCGTGTCATGAGGCTGCTTTCAAATTCACTGGGATTCCTTCCTGGACTTGTGTTTTAGGTAAACGTCTTAATCACATCATCTGCTTACTTTAAAGTTTTAGACGCACACACATTAAAATTTTTTATAAAACTGTTATAAATCTGACATTAATGTAGGTGTTGTATTGTACATCTTATCAATCTCACCTCATAACTGCAAGTTTTACGACATTAATGGCTTTTCAACAGAATTTTATTTATACACGACATTTAATACTAAGAACAAAACTGATGTACGAGCATCACTGTATTATGAAGAACCGTCTGTGTAGTGAGCTCCATAAATCTCTAACTTTTTCTCCAAGTGTATTGAATTGTAGACGTTTGTGGACGACTTTCACTTTTTTAAATTAGTGACTCACTAGGTTAATGCTAATTGATTGGAAATAATTAAACATGCAAATTTGCACTATTTTCTCTCTTGTTGATCCCAAATTATATAAACAGACTAAACTATTTGGCAAATTATTTTACATTTGTCCTTTTCTCCCTTGAGCTGTTAACAATGTTTGCATGGATAATGATGCAGCTTGATACATTTGAATAAAGAATCAACAAACACAGGTCAGGGCCACGTAAGGGAGGCTCAGTCAAACCTGTAGAATCACCACAAACGATGAACCAAGAATCAATCTGTCTCTTTTATTATCAAATGAAGTTTGTGCAAGTCGACAGCAACACACATTGCAGCCTGAAACATCCAAACCACAAGTGTCATAAATACAACAGACTGGAGAATGCAGCGATTTAAATAGCAGATTCTGTTTAACATGATTATACATTATGTGTCAGAGAGGTGAAACTCGTACAAACGGAGAGTCGGGAATAGGAATAATTAGATATCAGGAATGGTCTGAAAACTTGGGATCAAAGCTTTTGGCTTCTGACAAAAACCAAACTAGATCAATAACAAAACATCCCACATCAGCTGCAGAAGAAGCTGATGCCAGACCCAAAGTGACTCCTTCAGAGGGTCTATTCAGACTTGGAGATTGACACATCCACGACAATCAAGTGCAAGCTTCCTATTAAGGCTTCATCTCTTTGGTTTAGACATCAACAGCCTGAACTCAGTTGTAAAACTGTGGATTTGTGGTCTGCAGGAAAACAAAAGAAACATGAACATGCACGCTATGTGATCCTAAGTATGTAGATGTTTTTGGGGCTGCAATGCACTGTATGATAAAAATGATCTCCAGGCTAACTACAGGGTCTGATCACATCAGATTCAGTGTCACTTTGAAGGCATGTCACATTATCAAATCACTCTCTGCTGAAACACTGGCACAGACACACAAACGTGGAGGAATATCCAGGGAAAGTGCCATCCACATACTTTGGCCTGACAGTCATGTGGCTCCACAGTCTCTGTAGAGGAAGCAGAATCAAGCATACAACGATGGCAGTGAGATTTCTCTGGTAAATATGGCCTCAAATTCTGTGTATTTAGAGGTAACACCTATTCAGGGTGAAAAAAATAAATGGTCAAAGAAGTGAGCAGGTGAGGAATCAGAGTCCCTGTTGGTGTCTGGACTGTGCAGCACTCCACTGCTCAGTTCAGTTCGTGTGACTGGCACAGTGCCGACCCAGCTGCGACTGCGAGGTTAAAGTATGCAGCAGTGCTTCTTCTTCTTCTTGCCACTGGGGCCGTTATCTTTGCTCTCTGACATTTTCTTCTTGCGAACCTCCCGCATGAGGTCAAAGAACACCTGAGAGACAGAAGGAAGACAGGTGAGAACAGAGAGTAGTTTCCTGGAAGTGATGGCACGTCACCACAGATTATCTGGTAATGCTGAACTCAGTGTTGGACCCTTTAAAAAAACAGAATGTAAACACAAAATGCAAACTGAGGATGCAAATAAATGGAAATTTCCTCAAGGCAGGTGAACTGAGGTGAAGACATGTTTGCACAAGTTGAAAATGTTTCAGCACCAGCAGGACTTTATACATATCCTCGAGCTCTATGACTGCACTTAATGAGCGTAAGAAGGCGAGAGGAACAAGGGAAACTGGGAGAAAATGACTGAAAACAAAGAAAGAAAGTGAGCCAGCCTCACCTGACTAATTGTGAGACCTGATCACATGCATTTTAACACCAGATCTAAGTACCCAGGTCCAGATCACCTTGCAACCAGGCCTAACATGCTTTTCTCTTATCCAGATAATGCATCCAGATCCAGACAAACACATGAAGCTCCACATGCGGTGTTGTCATACCTTGTCGACATTGGCTCTCGTCTTAGCTGAGGTCTCCACGTACTGGACCCCCCACTCACTCGCCTTCGCTGTGGCCTCGTCCGCAGAAACCTGCCGTCGCTCTTCCAAGTCAGACTTGTTCCCCACCAGGAGCAGAGGGATCGCCTCCTCCTCCTTCACCCGCAGGATCTGATCCCTGACACACACACAAACACATCTCAGTTCAAATGAACAAAGAAGCAACTGTTTAAATGATAAGCAAAACAAAACATGATACAAAAATAATTTTACCTGCAGGTGGACATGACTAAAAACCATCACAGCCCAAATAAGTGGGAACCAGCGCTCTGTGTAGATTCCCAATTTTTGCAACATTAACAGGAAAAATGAAGAATAACATACATTTTTTTAAAATGAAAGCCACAAAATCTTAAGGAACCTGAACTCGGACGTGGCTGTGAAGGACTCGTGCTCTGTGATGGAGAAAACCAGTAGGAAGCCCTCCCCGCTGCGGAAGTAGTTGTCCCTGATGGCAGCGTAGTCCTCCTGACCCGCTGTGTCCAGGATGTCGATCTGGGCATCCTCGCCGTCCAGGACCACCTTCTTCCTGTAGCTGTCTGCCTTGGTGGGCTCATAGTCCTCCACAAACTGGAAGCAGAAAAGGGATTATGTGCCATGATTCAGAAACAGCAGGGTTCATGGGAAATGTGGTCTTGAAGTCTCACCTCATCGTACATGAACTGCAGGGTGAGGGCGGACTTCCCCACGCCGCCGCTGCCCACCATGATCACCTTGTGGAGAGCCAGAGAGGTCTGGTTCTTGTTCTTGCCAGAGGCCATGACTCTAAAATTTGTTAGTCCAGCAGCTCACAGCTCTGCCCGACTGTTGAAGACCAGTAGAGCCAGGTACCAAAATGCATCCATGAATATTCAAAATACTGGACATAAGCATGACACAAATATTTCTAATAAGTTTCATGTAAATTTGCCCTATGAAATAAACCTAAAAACATCCGATATCTTTATAAATACTTATTGCCAAACTCCAAAAGCACTAACACAGATCTGCAGCAAAAAAAAATGAATTTATAGATTAAAACTAGATTCGACGCATAGTGCTTTTCCAAGACATAGCCACATCTGAGGTGCAAACTATGAATCAATCGATAAATCACGCAGACACAAATAAGTAGTAAACCTGGGGCAAACCCAGTTAAGTAATCCAGCCATAAACTAGAGGTAGAGGCCCACTGAGAGTGTGTAAGCACAGGACCCAGCTGTTCTTGCTTCACCCCCGAGTCTGCTCTAGTAGTAGTGGAATTTACCCATGGACAAATAAAGGGCCTTCAGATAAAGAGCCGCAGCAAATGCACTACAGGCAAGTATGTGGGAAAAGCCACTTGTCAGTGACCTTTACAGCCTGACTTCAATGTGGACTGCAGCCTGCAAGGACACCAACATCAGGGTAGGACAGTAGTAAAGTGAAATATGTCGGGTTTAAACTGTCAGAACTACATGAATAATATGGGAAACTTTGAGGAACTTTAGTTGTAAAAACAAAAAAAAAAGAAATGAAGAGTTTGCCTGGCTGTTCTCAAAGAGGAACTATAATTCATCCTGTCAACACAGACCTTCAGCTTCCTCTCTGCATTAAACCAGCTGACAGCTGTAAACCACTTTCTATACAACACTGAACAGTCACTTCTGCTCTTCCCGGTTCCCGCCTTCAAACAAATTGAAGCTTCTGATTGGTTCAAGCTATGCGTAGAACTCTCCTAGAGCGGCTATTGTTGGCTGCTTGGACTGTCAGTCACCAGAATGAGGGCTAGCCAAACATCGATGGATAACACTCTTTTTCCTTCAAGGGAATTCAGACAATAAACTGTTCCCATCTGAGCGGAGAAAACGTAACGCCAACTTAAACGACACGGAAAAAGTCAGAACACTCACCAGCTAATGTGTTTTCCTTTGTTTCGCTCACAAGTCCGCCATACAACGACACACAATCAACTTTTACAAGTTGACCAGGAGACTCTCTGCCCCACCTTGTACCAGGACTCAGCTAAAGATCGTCTGTGTTTAGGAAGAGGTGTCACACTGTAGCTGAAAAATGTCAAGGAACATCTGACAGTTGGCGCTAGCATAGCCGTTATCAAGGCGATTGATTTAGTGCCTGACCGAAATATAGGCAAAATAACAACTTTGGTACGAACGACATTATGCGATTTAAATTACACGTCCATTAAATTTGGGTATATGGACTACAATGCGGCTCCTCGCAAATTTTTAGTACAGGTCATGGACTGACGAAACCGGGAAAAATACATGGAGTGATATATCTTACTTTTCGTCTCTTCTAAGAATGAAGCGGATGACAGGATATGATGTCACGGAATTCCTTGTATTTATCTATCAATCTATTTATTTATTTGCCTCAAAATAGCGTCGATTTTATACCTTTATTACAAGAACATAAAAATAGTTTTTATTTAGGACTTCCACAAGACTTTTTTGACACGTTGTGCAGGAAAAAAGAAATGCGAGGTTATCTTAATACAAAAGTAAGAAAGGATACAAAGCTGAAACGTGTAATGATGTTTTGTAAACGTTTATGAGCTGATAACCCTCTAACCAAAATTTGGGTATAAATTTACAGGTTTAAAGAGATATTAAAAACGACAGTTTAGTGTTCTTTATAATTGGATACAAGTCCTGAGGTTAAGAAATGTTTACTAGATAAATTCCCTCCAAAAATAAAGAACAAGTGGTTCCATAAACCCCATTAAAAGTCAGTTCATTATTAGTTTTTTTTTACCCAAATCTTCCAATTTTATTTAAATAGTTTCAAATTTAATTTCATACACCATCTCCTGCAGGATTTTACAAACATCTCTCATTATTTTTCTATCTCCCATTGTAGTTTTTCATGTATTTCAGGACGAGGTGAACATTTGCATGCGTCTCCTGAGTATACACGTAGTATTTGTCATTCCAACAGGGTGACGGAAGAACACTGCGTCAAAAAGTAATAATACCTTCTAGGAATATATATTTTATATAAATCAAAACGGTTATTTTTAGAGGTTATAGGGCCTTTGTGAAAGCGCTTTTAGAAATGTTGTACATGCATGTAGTTTCAGTAGTTGAAACATAGATGGAGCTATTTTGTTACTTTATCCACTGCTGAGCAAAGGGGAGAACACAACCTGATCACAGTCTTTCCTTTAAGATGTAAAACCATCTACATTTAACTTCCACGACTGGTTCCTGAGTTCTAAGTTGATTTAAAGTAAAAGAAACGTATTTCATCCTGAACAGCCTAATTTTACACATTTCAACCAGAATTCAGATGCACTCAGTGGATTTTCCACAAAACATGTAATTTAAAATACCATAATAATTCAAATCACACTGATGTGATTTCAGTAAAAACAGGCTCACCTGGTTTATCACTTCATATTACTTTGCTGTCTGATAATGGGCAGCCGAAAGGTCAAAGGTCACATCAGCTTTGCCTAGGGGCTGCTGCTGCTGCTGGTGGGTGTCTCCTGTTGTGGCGTGCTGATTTGCTTTGGTACTTTTACTAACAAATGTTGTTGTCTGCATGTCCTACCATGTCAGGGACACTCAGTCTGAGCTGTTGTGCAGTGTGTTACATTTGACCTGAAAGTTTCTGGATATTTGCATATTTGGATGTGATTTTAAATTTTATAAGGTGTTAAAAGTCCATGATACTCCATGATCTGTATGATTCTGAGACTTTTATAGTACTGATGTTGTGTCCAGTTAAAATAATTAAAGTGTATTAACACCCATTGTTTCATTTTTGGCGTCCATATACTTTTCTCCACATCTTTACATCTTTAAATCCTAGGCATAAGCATCTTCACTTATCATATATCTAGGTATTTTTTTGGGGGGGGGTTAAGCCTGTAAACAGTGCAATGCGGTACTACTCTATCTTAACGGTGATAGACACTGAATAGTCATATGTCACTACAGAAATATTATCTGGGATTAGGGTGTAATATGAATCCCTTTAGGAATAATTCAGTGATTTGTCGTCGGGGAGTATTATCAACACCGCCCCTTTCCTCTCTCTTTCTCTGTCCTCATTGGCCCCGCCCGCCTGGTTTTGACATCATCCGTGTATAAAAAAGTTTTCGGTGTGTGACGGTTCTGAGACGCCAGAATGGAAAGGCTCGTCGGTGCGCTCACTGGCACGCCTCCGTCTCCTCCTCTTCTTCTTCTCCGGCAGCACCGCACTGGGTGTCACGACCAAGAACGTTTGAAAAGCATTTAGAGAATAAATAAAGTGAGGATGATGATGAGCTTTCTGAACTTTAAATATGCTCAGTCAGGACCAGGATTCTTCTCGGTTTGTGGAATACGGTGAAGGGAGATGCTCATTAATGAAACCATGACACGTTGTCTGCTAATGACAGAGGTGATGCTTTTTGTGTGAAGCTGCTCCAAACGCAGAGTCCCTAAAAACCGGAGTAAGGAGGACTTAGCTCTCAGTTTTTGACAGGTTGTTGAGCATGACCAAAGCCATCCAAATAACGATGTAATAAAAAGATTTCCTGCAAACACACCCTCGAGTGAATGGAAACAAACAGCACTGACTGGTATCCAAGTGCGTCAGACTTGAGCGGACCGCCGTTACGCATGGAGACAGCTCGAGACTGAGGATTTTTTAAATATTATTTTATTTTATTTTATTTTATTTTTTGCCAATTTATTTTACTTTGTATGATTTAAACTCTGACAAAAGAGGAAAGAAGTTATTCTACTCCTCCTCAAACAGAAAATGCGCGTCCTGCGGCCTCGCTCAGCCGAAGGACCCCGAGTCGGGCCGGCTGAACCTGGACTTCCTAGAGGCGGTCAAGAGGCACATCTTGAGCAGGTTGCAGATGCGGGAGAGGCCCAACATCACGCACCCGCTCCCGAAGGCGGCCATGGTTACGGCGTTGCGGAAGCTCCACGCAGGGAAGCTACGGGAAGACGGGAGGGTGGAGATCCCCAACTTTGACGGACACCCGATGAGCAACGAGGTGCTGGAGGAGAGCTCGGAGATCATCAGCTTTGCAGAGAAAGGTGCAAAAATGTTAATCTCCTTCATCTTTGGGCTTTAATGTCTTCATGAGGTGTAACAAAAACCTTTTCCACCTGATTTCAATTAAATGTAACGTTGGTCACAAATTGTCTTATAATATACTTAGTTTAAGAACCTTAAAAACACTGCTGTTAATTGTAAGAAATGTGAAATTCTCATAGACGGCATCAAGTTTTTGCTACTGTTTTGTTACAGAAAATAAGATGCGGGATGCAGTCCAAGGTGAAATGCTTGTCTTCAACAAGTCAGAGCATCCTGCAGGGAGGCAAGAGCTGACAGGATCCGACACAGAAACAAATTCTTGTGTTGTAGTTTTTGAAGGATATGAAATGCAGCTGAGATAAGGATTCAGGAGCTGCTTTTAACAAAGACATCAAATTTGACCCTGAAAACATCCTCCTTACCCACAATCTCCAAAAACAGGCAGATTGAACCCTTTTAATATGACCTTACTTTGGCTGAATTATAAAACCATACTATGAGCTTTTTAGACTGATGTGGTTTCAGCGTTTACCGCTGTCAGATTAATAAAACGACGTTTGATGCATGTAGCTGACGAATCAGGTGCTGCTCAGGGACTGGGTGAACATCAGCCAGCTCTGCTCTGTGCGTGTGTGTGTTTCAAGCTTGTGACTGAATGAGAAACAACCCAGAAAACATGCTGATGTTGAACAGATGTTGTTGCAAGCGCCGGAAACTTCGCCAGAATCAAAGCAAAACCCCATCTGTAGCGGCTACCTGCACTGCTCTGTGAAAATGGAAGCTTCACATCTTTCTGGTCCAAGTTTCTAAAGATGTTTAAACAGTTTCTTCAGAAGACCTTGTCTTCTTCTTCTTGCTGTCTATTAACTGTAACATTCATCATTTGTTGGATGTTTCTAGCGTGAAAACCTTAGTTGGCCCCCTAAAGTCAGGCAAGTGTCTCCAGTAACTGCAGCTGATTTGGTTTGTCCTCTGAGGCTGCAGTTTGTTCTGTACGCAGTGATTTCGCTGGTTTTTGTGTTGATCAACAAAGATGGAAAGAGCTGTTATCATCTAGAAAGACGGATTTAAAACGGCAACATTGTGAACTCAGTTTGCTGGATGGGGATCTGACGCATGCCCTAATTACATTTCGAGGTTTTCTTCCTTTAGAATTGGGATTTTAATGAATGGGCTACGCTGCTGCGTTCATGTGCTCAAGAGAAAGTTGGATCCGGGTGTTGCGTTCAGGTTCCTAGAAACCCCAGCCTCACACAAAGATAAACTTGGGCGGCTTTCCTCCGTGTCGGCGGAGGGCTGCTTCCCGCTGAGGGCCTTTTAGTTTCGGATGTTTCTCCCCGTGGCCGCTGTGTTGCGGTCCTTCCACCTCGGCGCCGTCTGCCTGCCAGCTGGCTGCGTTACCGGCGGTGAGCGGCTGCCACTCGGGACCAGGCGCGACC